AATAATATTACGAAATTACATTCTGTTAATCTAAGTGCTAAGTTAATTTAGAATATTATACATCAGTTACTTAATCTTATCTTATATAGAGATTTTTACACGACACAGTTTTGTAGCTAAAATCTCAATATTAATGTTTATTTAAAAAGCGTTTAGTTCTGAACTACAAATAGCTTACAATGTGTGCGTTTAGGTAAAAAGGGGGAATTTAATGGACGAAGTACTCAAATCTTGCTTATTTGGACATTTTGGGTATTAGGTACAAATATTCGAACATATAGAGCGATTCCGTTTGGTAAATTTGAAATATGCATATGAACGAGTACTTGCTGAAGAATGGCCAATTTCTTTTTCCAAAGTTGTTTTAAATTTTCACAAAAATCCCAAACAATAAACAAATCGGTTTTTCTCAACTAGTCAAAGAACTGTAGGTACTCTTGATAGTATTTACAAACATATTGAAATAATATTTCTACACAATTTTACTATTAATACTGTTTATTAAGACGTACAACTATTTTCTATGGGACTTATACAGTACTTATTTAGATATTTATTTCAATAACGGCAGTAACAATGAGTACATTTTTATGTAACTGGAAGCATTTTCTTTCAGGAAGTCATTGCTTCAACTCAATAAAAAAAATTACCCGTTTTTGGATTTTAAATGTTACCCCGCTGGCTCAATATTTAAAATAATCTGGGCTTCCACCCCACTGATACTCAGTTGGAGAAATCTTTTGGTTTTTGCATTTTTAGCTTGCAGCTGCAATTAGTCCAACTTATAGATGTAAATAAAGATTAATTAAGCTGGAAAGTTTGCTGAATAAAACCGGCGCTTGAAAAGTTCTCGTTTTGCTGAAAAACTTCCTAATTAGGTACTCAGTATTACCACCATTATCAACGCAGAAAAATACATCTACTAAACTACGTAGTTGGAGTTGTATCTTACAGAGAGGTTTTTCCTTAAACGTTAACTAATTTTGTTGATTTGTTGATGAGGGTATAAAAGAGCACATTTACATGCTATGAAGAGTTATCTTTATTAGGAAATAATTTTCCATTGCAATCATTAATTAAAATTGTATAATTGATGTCGATCAAAAATATTTTAAAGTGTGTAAATTATGCGGAAAAATTGTTAAAACACGACAACTGAAAATATCTGAATGAATACATTTAGACCATATGAATCATAGGTTATTTTTTAGAAGCATTTAAGTGAAGAAAATAATGGTAATGTTCAATTATATCATGTGCTTTTATGACGTTGCTACATCGTTAGGAAGTCCTATACTAAACTGGCAGTGTATTCACGACATTTATTAACATTGAATAATCCATAATAATCTAGACGGGACAATTTAAATAATGCATTACTCTTATTTAAAATGCCCTTTAATTGCAAAATTAAACTTGCAGTCTACATAAGTTAGCCAACATTTATAGTTATTCAGTCTAACAGCCATTACAAGTTATAACTTATCGAGTAGTTTTTAATCTAGTTTATCATATATGCACATTAGCTCAAGCAAACAAATATTACTGTTTAAGTGTTAAATAATTTTTTAATAACATTAGCCGCGCGATAGATCTACAATCAGAACAATTATTATTAGTATAACATAATAATGTTTACCTACTAGTTCTGCCAACTTGGACAGTACTTATCAATTTTTTCATAAATACAAATTAATTTGTATTTTTTAATTACTGTCAAGATGTAATATCAGACGATTTTTAAATTCATCTGTTGCTTTGTATTTTATTGACATGGCTTCAATTTGTTTATCTGAATTTCCTCTGGCAAAATCTACAAATTATTTGAACAATGTAGTCTACATATCAAAAGTCAATAGTTACTCATAATTGCTCAAATTCTTTCTAGAACCTTTCATTAATCCGATGAATGCCTCGAAAGGAATGATAAATTTTATAAAACATGTCAAGTATCTACGAGTATACGAAGCTACTGAACAATCTAACACATTTTCGCATTAGAAGAATTTTTGGGCGAATAACAAAGATTTAAAAATTATATCGCCTGTTTTTCAATTTCCAGACCACCACATTTAAAAAAAATTAGGGATTTTGAAAAAATAATTTGTTGCTGATTTTCAAGAAAGTTAACACTTCTTCTTCGTTGTCCCAAAAAAAAACTGTCATTCTAAGACTTTAATTAATATCAAGTTGAAAATGATAAAGTCGGAAATTCTATTGAGTTAAGACGAAAATAAAACGTGAAAAACTAATAATTAATTCTCCCACGCAAAGCGAGGTGAAACGTCGCAAATATTTTTGCTCCTGAAGGAAATTACATTAATCACTCAAAACAGAGTGAGAGCTTGAACACTGTCTCATAACCGGAAAGATAAGTGTGTTAAATTAACGAGATTAAATTCAGACACCATCACCGGAAGTAGAAACCAGAAAGGAATGTTATTATGTGGGGGATGTAATTGAATTGTTGAGCACTTTAAAAGTTAATTAACTCGCTTAACTGCTCATGTAAAACACAGGCTTTGTAAGAATTCAGAGATTTAAAAAATGCTTGCTGAAGTACTGCAAAAACTTCTAGTCAGCAAACAAGCGAAAAAACGGTTTGAATAGAAGAACTTGGAAAATTAAGATTAGTTGTTTCAGTTTTCAAGCTAAAGCACCTGAGTCGGAATGTTAAAATATATAAATAGCATGTTTTAGATTAAATATTATTTATGACAAATTCTGAAAAGGTTTTTTCTTTATTTGATGAGAAAATGTAATATGTCTTGAGTGCTCATCTTAGTTTCCATGCAGGGTTTCATGCCGCAAGTTTCCTTTAGAAGTATTTCAGAAATTTAGCTTTTAATATAGAGGAAACGCTACTTTTCTTAAATAACCTCAAAGATATGCGTTATATTAGCTTTATGCGAAGCCCTGTTTTATTGTGAGATTAAATGCTTTATTAAATAAGTAAGTATTTTGCACTTTAGCTAAAAATCAAGCTGGATTTGAAAAGTTTTCAGTCGGACAAGTGACGAAAAATGAACAGTAAATTCAAGTGTGAGCTTTGCATGACTTGTTTCATTTTTAAATCAACAACTGGTATTTGTTGAGTTTAATTAAATCACCTCAAGTTCAAACGATCGTTAAACTTCAATTTGTTTGCGCTCCTGTGGGACCAAACGGAGGGCAAAAAGTCTCGACAAATTTAGCAAGTTTCGAGATTTTCTGATATGCTTTTGTGTGGTTAGGCTTAGGGGCTCCTGGGGTTCAGAATTGATTTTTCAATTGTGTAAAGACCGAAGCGAGCCGTTCATGCAGTTTAATTATTTCGGCATGGAAATATTGAGTAAATGAGTATTTTTAATTAGGTCGGCCTTTGTTTGGAAAGTGCGAATTTGAAATGTTCAAGTCAGGTAAAATAGCATTGAATTTAATTGCGTTATATCAATATTACGGATAAATAAAAGCAAAAATATTCGCCTATAGTAGAAAGCATTCAACTTTAACCTGCAGTCAATGCGCAGCCAGTTTCAGAAAGGGGAAGGAAATGAATATTTTTTGAATAAATTGAGCAGCAAGTGCAGATAAATTCAACTTATTTCCTAATGAAAATTGTTAAATAGTACCTACTTATAATTCAACACCCTAGTAAATCGTCGTTTCGAAATTCGTTACTGGTTTGTCCTTCTCTGATAGCTTATTGGAAATTTTAAGCTGTTTACTAAAAATTTTTCCGGAGTTGTCACCATCAGAAGTATATGTGGCACTTCAGTAAATAATTCGTCAGAATTTCATCAATTACAGGGTTGAAATTTATTCAATATACAGGGTGGCCATTTTCTGAATCTTTGTATAGGTAACTTCTACATTTTTAAAGATAGAGAATCCGTTAAATGGGCAAAATTGGGCAGAATTCGATTGTCTATTCATTACCGTTTTCAAAATTTAGGTACCCGACTTGGTACCTGAAATATCCTGAATACAATAAATCAACACTTTTTTAATTATCACTTATTACGTAAACTGCTTTACTTCGAAAAAAGTTAAAACTGCCCTTAGTACAACTTTTTGCGATGAATCGAATAAATAAACTTATGGGTTTTTAAATGGTAATCATAGTTGGCTGTGAGCCTTTTAATATCCTTATTTTTTTCTGAATTTAACGATATAATTGTTTACATGTTTTTCTCCTTTTGTTGCCGTAAAACTTCAAATAAAGGTAAAAAATGTGTAGTAGGCTATGGAAACAAGAACTATATTATCACACGAAGCACAAAACAATAATGAATCGTTTAAATTAAATGTGCAAATTGACTTCCGTTTACGTCCAGGCATTTWTTGGCATCTTCACATTCAACTCGTGAGTTGTGTGAAGGTGCACTATCATGTTGAAAATGTGCCAATTYTCGATACGATGCTAACGGAAAACTATTCAACATGTCTTCAAGTTCATTTGGTAAAAAGTGTAAATATCTTTCCATATTTAATTTGTGATTATAAAAGAATGCACCAATAATTTTACCACTAGAAGTACCTCAAAAGACGTTCACAAAAAAAAACACGTTGATCTCGCCTATTTTCAATTAGATGATGATTTTCATTAGCCCAGTAAACATAATTGTGTCTGTTAATTTTCCTTTAAGTTAAGTTTCCATAGCCTACTACACATTTTTGTATCTCATTTTGAAGTTTTACGGCAACAAAAGGAGAAATACATACAAACAGTTATATCGTTAAATTCAGCAAAAAATAAGGAGTTTAAAAGGCTCACAACCAACTATGCTTACCATTTAAAAAGACATAAGTTTATTTTTTATCTCGTAAATCAAGTTGACGAGTGCTAGTTTATTGAATTCCACGCAAAAATGATAATTAAAAAAGTGTTGATTGCTTGCATTTTCAGGATAGTTCAGGAACCAAGTCGGGTATCTAAATTTTGAAAACGGTAATGAATAGGCAATCAAATTCTGCCCAATTTTGCCCATTTAACGGATTCTCTATATTTAAAAATGTATAAAGATTCAGAAAATGGCCACCCTGTATAGCCTGGGAAGTTGAGGTGGCGTTCAAATGAACAAATTGGAAATTGCAAGCAAAGTTATCATATTATTAACTTAGAAACTATGAAAGTATGTAGATACCTCTTAGAACTAAAATACGAAATATTTAGGGTTCAATAGAAAAACAAAAATTTATAACTTGTGACTTTCCCAAACATATTTCAAAACTGAAAAAAACCAAAAGAAAGCAAATCTAAACCTAATGGCAATTTATCGTTTATCCACCTTAAGGTAAATAGGACAGTGCGTTACGCTAATTTTGATGTTGAAACACTTTCGTTACATATTTCTTGTGAGCAACTCTATTTCCTTTATGAACCATAAACGGTTTTATATTCTCTGACTTGTAGGTATAACCAAACGTATTTCCTTCTATTGTAGAGTTTCCTACTCGCTTCGGCGAGCTTAAAAAACCAATTCAGCATGAGCATACTGTGCCATTGAATAATGACCATAGCGTTATTGCTATTTGCGTAATTGTCGATTTTGTTGGGTTATTCGGGTTATTTCCCTTGCAGTCAGCAGCGCTGGGATCTTACGCCTAAATAAATTCACAATTCAGTCGGGATAGTAGCTTAATAAAAGAAGGTTTGGCTGATTTTTTAAAAGCAAAAATCCCCGAATGCACTCCAATCCACATCGTCGTAACCAACCATTGTGTAGTCCTCTACAGCATGACAATAGAGAGAGCTACTTAAAGCTTCTGTGGTGAAAGTAATTTGGGGCGCAATAGCGGGGGTTTGCGCTGTCCAGCCCCAACCGTGACCCCAATCCATAACAACACCTAGATAAAACAGAACAAAAATTCTTAATAGTTCATTATTTTTGGGATAAGTAAAGAATCTAAAAATATTTAAAAGATCAATTTTTGTTTACATTTATTGCCCAGCACTTTAGCAAAAGTGTCCAACGTTTAGTTAGATTCAACAATATTTAAAAGTTTAGCAAATGCAGTTTATTGCAGTAGTAAACTATTCAATGGATCAAACGATGTTTTGTAAACATCTAAAAATTAATAGATCCTAAACTAAGAAAAACTTGTTAATCTACACTGACATACCGCAAGATGTACCTGCTAATACAGTGTGGTCATTTTCATATTTGCTGGATTTTTTGTTGATATTTGGTCGATAGTTGTCCACATGTTTGTTTTGTGTGCAGTTGTAACTCTTTGATGTGCAAGAACTAGCTTTGGGTAGACTTGGCAAAGTTGCGCAGTTTCCATTAGGGATGATAGTAGCGCAACCATTTGCGATCGGTTTAACTGAAACAATAGTTCAATTACATATTTCAATAGAGATTATTTAGGTTTTCAATAAGTAAGAAAGAAACGAGTACAATATTTTTATTTGACGAATATGTGGCTTCTTGGAAAACTCGTCTCATTACTGATTGTTAACACCCAAATTGAAAATTGTGTCTAATTTTAACTAGAACTTGGTTCTTTAGAACGTTGGTTAGAAAACCCAAAATGGGTTTTCGATCTGTAATTGAAAAATGAGTGAAGGTCTGAAATATAATATAGTCCACCTACACAGTAAATCGTAAATTCAATTTTAGAGCTTTAAAGATGTTAAGTTGATACCAATAAAAATCTGATTAAATTTGTTGAAAATAGATTTTTCATATGGTTATGGCTCTCTTAAGAAACTAAAAATAATGAAAAATAACGTGCATCACATCTGGATCCGTAATCCAATTTAAATATTTTTTAGTGCTCATAGCTCTAATCTAAAATTTAAGCACAAGATACGCAACTAAATGCATCAAATTTATGTTATAAAATGTTATCTATGGTTCTTTCTACCTATAATGGACATTTCAGCCTTCTGATCTCGGATCTTTAATCGTCTGTTTATGCTGAGCCATTTGAGAGATGATCGTTTTTATGACATTTTCAACACGTAATTAATAATTAAACACTCATTGTTTTAAACATTTACAAAAAATTAACATTTACATAACTTAATTAATAAAGCGCAGAAAATAACAAAATAAACAGAGCAACCAACTTACAACGAAAGTTTAAACATCATTTGAGCCAAAAAATTTCTTCGTAAATTAAAGTAAATGTTTGAAAACATTTTGAGCGTAAAATGGGAGTGGTCATAAAAAATTACATCTCTCGAATGACACAAGATGATCAAACGATTAAATATCCAAAAAACTCAGAAGACTTTAAGCTATTTCATCGTATACTTTTGTGTTGCTCTGAGCTACCACATATTGCACTCAGAAAGATTTACACCTTGATCAAGAAAACATTGCACTATTTAAACGCCCTGTGCTATATGTACATTTAATTTTTCGCATCTCACAACTTAAATTTCGTTCCAGCATAGAGTTGATAAAAAAATTATTCGCATCGAATCACCGACTAGAAATCTACACAGTGAAAATTTAGGGAAGTTAACTAGTAGCTAACAGGTGCAATGTTGTTAACATTTTCAAAGTTTATTTACTTTCTTCCTTTGCTTTTTAATTTTTTTATTTCTACAAAAGAAATTAGAATGTATCTTCTTTTTGCTAGTAGTAAATGGAATACAGCTTTTTAATAATAAATTAGATAATAATTAGCTAGAGTCCCTTAGTTATGTTGCAATAAATTTTCCAAAACCCATCGACTTTTTCCAAGCTTCATAAAGTCCCCGAACATCATACACATTGCTAAACCTTATCGACAACAGCAAAAAATAATTAAATCATCTGTTACTCAATTATTAACAACTACATCACACAAATCTATAAAAACACAACAAGGTTCTGAATTAAGGTCTATTTAATTCATAGATTATCCAATAGATCTACGTTGTGTGGGAAAACCAAAAAAGCGAGTTCCAGACCATTCACAACAAGCCGTCTTTCACCTTAATTCCTTGATTATATAAAGCCGCAATTTTCAGATTGGAATCAATTGATTTATCATCAATCAAAATATGCCGGAAATATTATCAAGCTGAAGACTTGAGCGACGTTAAAAGCGTCACGTAATTTGAAAATCAGAGATCTGGGATCATAATATTTATAAAGCCGTATTCAATATGAAAATTCCGTAAAAAAATATGTAAAACTGATGAATTTGAATGAATCGGTTGCATCATAATACTTGGCACGCTCTGTATAAATGGTCTTTGCAATTATTTAGTTATTATTTATACAATTATATAGCTTATTTCAATATTGTTCTCAAAAGGCACAATATGTGGAGTAAAAATTGTTAACTAGTCGTCGCTCAAATTCAAGATATTAACTGTCCGAAATGTTGTTTAATCGTTCTTAGTAAATAGTTTCAAGTTCTTCCGGGAGGAAATTTATTGAAACTTTGGGCGCTCTTAAAACTGCCATGACTTTCCAAATTACAAATAATTTTTATCACGAAAAAAGTCAGAACACGCATAATCAGCGCCTTAAAAATTTTACACTACTTATCATTTTAGTTTTTGAAACATTAATTTTTCATTTACTTAGCTAAGTTAAGTTCTGCAGTGTTTTTCTCCAAGAATTAGCAGGATCTATTAAAATGGTTCTTATGCATCGTCAGGAACTATTAAGACTTTCAGCTATATAATTTTATTTTAGTTTCGTTCTTGAGTTCGAACTGAAAATTTCTTCACCGAGAAATTTCTAGAGAACTGTTTAGTAAAGAGAAATGTTTGCTACCGTCAATAATTGTGAAGTTTCCTCCCTTAAAATATTACTTCAATGATAGAGGTTTCTTATATGAAAACATTGAAATAATTCGTTCCATTTCATCCAAAAGGAAAACACGATTTTTTAGGTGTCTGTCTCAAGCGTGTAAAGTACAATGAGTCCACTTAAATTTTTTTAAATTGCTGCTCCGATCTACCACATAGACACAAACAAACCTCAATTTCTTGAAGAGCCAATATAGAAACTGTAAAATTTTAACGAATATCCAATGAAATAAAGAGCATTGGTGCCAATGTTGCCTCATAAAAACAGAAACTCTTTCTTAATGGCCAATTACGGAGAATATTTACATTTTTCCCGGGCGACAAAAAGGTCGAGACTCAAAACTATGACAATTTTTGTCTAAATTAAACTAGTCGTTAATAAATTATTCCCGTGTAATGAGCAATTATGCTTTTACAAACAATAACTAATTCCGAGAAACATTACCTGAACTTCCAGAATTAAATTTGCTGTAGATGGACAAGTTACGCCAAGTTAGTTTTCAGTGCACTTTAAGGTGGAGGTCTCGCTTGATAAATTAAGTAACCGAAACTTTACAACTAAATTGATTAACAATTTGCTTGCTTCCATTAAAGGTTGCAAACTAACGGTGCCTAATTTGTTACATTTTCATCCAGTACATTACGAAATTTCCCTTGCCCTATTGTATTACTATTAAATTAATCCAGAATAGTGCAAAGTTTCTTGGGGGTAATTTACATTCAAACATTATTATATAATAGGGGCGACATTAGTTTGATATTTCGTGAAGTTTGCTCAAATATTATTCCATTTTAGATGTACGCTATGTTAATCTCTTAATTTATTATTAGATAGTGGATTATTGTCAGCTAAATTTCTAATTTGATACTAATGCAAATGACAACACTAATTCTAATGTAAGGTAACTGAATTCGTATTATTCTAAATTTGTAAATAGAGTTTACTGCAACTTCATAGTTAAAAATAAAGTTAAGCTATTATTTTATAGAAATATTGGGACTGTGCCACTTGGCAAACCCAAACTAAATTTGCAAAATGACTACGATACTTTTCGATTAATTAGGAAGAGCATTATCTAGCTACTTAAAACTTTTAACTTCTTTACGAAAATTCATGCTTCTACGTGTCGATTGCGACGTAATCCATAAATTGCGGAGCACTCGCGACTGTTCAATGAAATTACATTATAAATCAGGCGGGGTTTCTAAAGCAAATTTAATTACACCTTGTTCTGAAACTAATTATTACCAATTTGTTTCCCAACGTGGACTCGAAATTTCAGTCATTAAAATATTATCACAATTATTAGTAGCGATGATGCGTGAGGAGACTGAGACTTAATTGAATTAGGAAACTTAAATGAAGGATTATAGAATTAGCAAGGAAACGTTGAAGTGCGTATAAGCTACTTTAATAAAGTTTGAGAATTCTAGCTTCCAGCAGATACGGGATAGTCGTTAAGGGTTTTCAGTCAATTTTGGCTTAAAATTTATTGGATACTTATTGCTTTTATTGACTAGTTATTAGGTAACTGAGAGTTTCTGGTTGAAGTTGAAAGACCAAAATCACCAAATTAAAGAAATACCGGAATTTTTCATACATAACGATGCGCCTAAATATTGAAAACTGTTAATAAATAACTAGTTCGAATTGCATATCAATTATCCGATTCTGCTAAGCGAGTCTTTTCTCTTAATTACAAAAACGTGAAAAGCTCAGAATGAAGAGAAACCTCAAATTAACTCTCCAATGCTCAGTACACTTTTGATGATTTGATAAAAATAGTTTTAATGTCATTTACAAACACTCATTTTGAAATGAAATGTTTTGATTCGTATTAGGTTCTTGCTGAGTTGGTTTGTAAAGTTATATAATCTTCTAGGTAATTTAAAGAAAAAAATATATGCAAGTGATGCAGATTTAAATGAGCTAAACTTTTTAAATATTTGGATAAAAAATTTACAAGATTTAAACGTTCGCATTTTTCACAATTTTAGTATTATGACTGGAAATGTATTACATTTGTAGATGTTTAAGTGCTATAAATAGTTAGGGCCCACGCTTCATTAAGAATATTGAGTTGGGTGCGAAAGCTAAATTTCCTAGAAACGGAATGAGAAATTTGCATAACAGATATACGTGGGTTGAACAAAATCTTCAAGCGATTATAGAAAAGCATTATCGCTTTAACATTCACCTGTGGGCAGGTGTCGTATATAATTGTCTTTTAAATGTGATCATTTTTCTAGGAAAATTATGAGTGCATTAAATCGAGCTTCTTGGTCCTAAAGCCCTAGATTTACTTGAGCTACTTATCTTTAGAGCTGAGGTAAAATTGGTGAATTCAACCACGATTCTGGAGAAAAACGCTTTATTTTTTTAGACATGTTAGTAACTAATGAGTCGATTATTAGCGAGTTAAATTGGCTGGGAACCAAGTGCTCGTATTGAAAGGGCGCAAATCATGGATCTTGAACTATTCGGGCTGTAAATTTACTAAATAAATTGTGCGAAGTTTTTCAAATTTAAATAATAATTAAGAAACGTGAGAATGTGTGACATCTGCTT